TGTGGGTTTGGGTCCAACGGGACATGGTTTGGTGCTCTCCTAACTCTTTCCTAAGTGCATACCAAAAATGGTTCTAGTTGGCCACCATTGGACGTTGCCCGGCGCCCAAATGGTGGCTAACTGGACCAAATCTGATGAGGCAACTAGTCAAGCTAAGTGCATTCTAGAACTAGAAATAAAATATAGATATGAACAAAAAGTTAAGACATGCAGATTTTAGTTTAAGTTAAATTAGAATTCTACCATGTCAATTTCTTGTTCTAGATTGCTATGCTCATGGAAAACTTTTAAGACAAAGGCCATTTACCTTAAGGATTTTGCTGTTGTTGTCTTGAAGCGTGATGGCCCCATGTGTCGCAACGTCGATGACATGGACTGGCCCTTCCCACTTGCTTCTAAGTTTTTCCATGGTCAAATAGCTTGACCCTTGGGTTGAACATGAGGACCTTGTCTCATGAGTTGAATTCTTTTAACTTGATCCTTTTGTCATGCCATCTCTTTTCATGGCTTCATGTTTAAACCTTTTTGCTCCATTCATTGTTTCAATTCTGCAAGAGATTAGTAGACAACACATACCCGAAGGGATACATACATATTTTGAAGCAAGGGTAGTGTTTGCCACAGAGCTAGTGGTCCTTTTTCCATGCTAATCAAGAGTTGGTTTTAGCTAGCATAGAACACTATCCCATGATGTTCCCTCATTGTTCACCAAGACTTCAAAGCTTAAACAAGGTTAAGGCAAATTTGTGCAAAATTATTTAAGAATACCTCAAACCTTGATTTGTCTCCATGAATGATCTCATGACTTACCCACCAAAATTTAGGATTTCTTTTTGCAAGGGTGTCGCGGGGTCGGAACCGCGGCAAGCATTGTTGTTCGAGTTGGTGTCAGAGTACATGTCTGCGGTGCCTCGGGTGGACTGAAGAACACAAGAATCATAGAGAGGATGCAACGGTTTATCCTGGTTCGGGCCGATCGATGCCCTACGCCCAGCAGTTGATGATCCTTATACTCAAGAGCACCCAAAATCGGGGGGTTACAACAGAGTGTATAGGCGAAAGAGAGAGATTTGGTAGGGGGTTAGCTCAGTGCTAATCCTGAGGTTGCCTCGCCACCGGTGGAGCCTTCCCCTCATCGGAGAGGAGGAAGACGACGGATGCGGTGGAGGAGCTCTCGGTGCCCTCTCTCGGTTGCTCTGCTCTCGGTGCTAAGCAGGAGCGGATGGATGGTGAGGAATGGAATGATCTGTCTGGGATCATCCTCCTCTAGGATCCTCTTCCCTAGGATCTGACCTTATCCCTTATATATCGATATAGGTCGGGTATATGGTGGTTTGGGGGTTGAACCTACGGTCTACATGCGCCGGAGTCCAGGAGGGTCTTGCAGCGGCGCTCTGTGGACTGTGGTGATGTCGTGGAGCCGAAGAAGCCCTAACGCCAGCTGGCTGCTTTATTTGGACACTCTGCGTGTCAAGCTGTGTCGGCTTGGACCGGCCTCCCCTAGGTGGACCTTCTGTAGTCCTCTTGGTGGCAAAGGAGGTCGGCTCCAGGGCCTGATGCGTGGGCCTAGGAGCCCTCGAGCCCTTGGAGGCTGAGGGAAAGCTTGTCTTCTTGTGTGACACCCCGTGCGTGACCCTGTCTGGGGAGCGGCCGGCAAGGCCGAGCCCAAAGTGCTGCATTGAGGAGCGCCCAAGCCTTGGTGGCTTGAGGCGTGTCGCCTTGTGCCCCGGCCTTGGCTAGCGTCGTAGGCCGGGCAGGAACCGAGGGCCGGGCTCAGGTTTCCCATCGATCGGGAGCCTGAGGCTCGAGCAAGCCCCCGAGCCCTAAGCAAAGGCCTTGCGTGCTCAGGCTCGGGCAAGTTCCTTAGTCTGAGGGTGCGCGCGAGCGTACCCGATGGGTATAGCCCCCGAGCCCCCAGGCGATCCTGGGGGGATCGGCTGGGGGGTCTCTTCGGTCGGAAACCATAGATCCCAAGGCTTACACATACCCATATGTTAGGATCTCGTCAAAGGGTTTAGTCCATATGTACAACCACATTATGTACAAGTATGTTTTGATTCAATAATCAAACTTGACGTCATGTCTTATTTGATTAAGGCGGGCTATTTTGACCTAAGCACCATACTTAATTTAAAAAGCCTATGGAGGTACGATCGATCAATACAACCAAACCAAAGCATACTAGCGTAGAAAAAGGAAGAATGAGAGCATATACAAGATTCATTCAATTGGAGACAAGAGTATGGATGGTGAACCAAAAGAAGTATATATATATTTTAATTTTATTTTGAAGTGAAATAAACAAATGTAAAAGAAATGCATCAAAAGAAAGGGAGAAGACATGGCAAACCAGTCAAAGAGTATGTTAGAATGGAGTGGATCCTGACTGGTAGGCCTAAAGGACCATGGTGGGTTCGGCCGACCCCACCTTGGAGCCTCTGGCCACTTTGGTGCCTCCCTGTGTATTCTTACCTCTAAAGATGTATCTCTGCAATTGCGTTTTTTGGTTGTGTGTCCATGGGGCCATCGCCCAACACCAAAAAGTGTCCTTTGCGGGCCAAATTTGACGTGCAACTATGTTTGGCCATGGACATCACCATGACATGTCCATTACTATGCCAAGGTGTCCTTGGGGGGTCGCCACACTTGGCTCAGTGTGTGCTGTATCACAAAAACAAAGAGAACGTCAAGTGCAGGGCTCTGCTGGTGGCAACACACCAGCAGAACCAACGAGTCTCATTTATTCCACTAAAGTTAGGCACAAGTTGCATCAGGTTGGTGAAGCAGTTTCCCTTTCAACGCCAACCTTCGTGGACCTAACTGCAAAAACTCATACCAAATCACTACGAGATTTGTAATATTTAGGCCTCGTTTGGATGCGTATGTATTTATCTCAATCTACATGTGTTAATGTGGATTGAAGTGAATTTAAACTAAATTTCATTCCATTTCACTGTAACACATATGGATTAAGATAGATACACATGCATCCAAGCAAGACCTTAAGATAAACAAACATATCTACAACTATCCCTGCAAAAATTTTAGAAACAGGAAGCATGAAGGGGTTGTACATCTTGTGCGTGGTGATGGCAGAGAGAAGGATTGACTTGTGCTTTTCATCAGCAGAGCTGCCTTACGGGACATCACTGCCGAAACATCGAGCTCCAGCTCCATTTCCTAGGTCCAATCGTGCCGACCTTAGTAATCAAACATAAGATTCACCCGATCATTAATCGGTTGCACCCTCCGGCAATTAAAGGTTTGAAATAGGCCTATACCGATCATGCTCAACACATGATCATGTTTGCTAGTATCTAGAAAAGCGGCTCCTTGCCTTCTAAGCAAATATAATTCTATTATATAAGCTGGCCTCGAAGCTTAGCGATGGATCTACCACATTTAAACAGTTTTATTCTTCAACACCAATAGTTTCTTCCTTGGTGAGTTCTTCTTGAAGGGACCGTGACGTCTAAAAGAGAGGGTGAATTAGGTAACTTAAAATTCTAACTCTAAACTATGGCCTCTTTTTCTAACCCTAACAAAACCTATGTAATAGATAAGCTATCTAGATGTACAACTATAGTTTTGCTAGTGCGTTGCTATCTCTACCGCAAACGTAGTAAAGTAATCAATATAAATGCGAAAGCTAAAGAGCAAGGTAGAGATATGCAAACTCCCGTCGACGACTCCGGTATTTTTACCGAGGTATCGAGAAGCGCGCAAGCTTCCCCCTAGTCCTCGTTGGAGCCCCTCGCAAGGAATCCCTCGCAAGGGCCAAGCTCCTGGTCAGGTAACTCCGAGGATAGCCTCGGGCCTTCCCCACGCGCAAGTGGGTCTCCGATGTGCCTCTCGGCAAGCCTCTCCCGGATGCTCCCCGCCATCTTCACTATCAAGCTTCCGGCCGAAACGCCGCAGGCCTTGTTCCCTCCGGTACACGGTGGCGGCCACAACACAAACGTGGTTGGTGTGATCTCGCAAGACTTCAAACCCTTCCGATGTACAACACTTATGCTCACAAGCACGGGTGGCAAGAGGTATACAAACCTCACTTAAACACTAGGCAAACACCTAGAGCAAGCGCATAAGCGGTGGTCTAATCAATCTAAGCAATTCGCAAAGCACTTATGCTAATCACCTAATAAAACACTAAGCACTATGCATGTGGAGATCACTCAAATGGTGTATCAACACTCTATGTTTCCTCAGCTCCACACACCTCAAATGGCCGGTTGGGGGTTGTATTTATAAGCCCCACTGAGAAAGTAGCCGTTGGGGTCGAATTCCCGCGAAACTGCTACTGACCGGACGCTGAATCGTCCTGACCGGACGCGTCCGGTCGTCCCGACCGTTGAGCCGACAAAACACTGATCGGACGATGTCCAGCGTCCGATCGCCTGCCACCGGACGCGTCCGGTCACAGATTTGCCGCTCTAGAACCTTACTGTAATCGATCGGACGCTGCGTTCCTGCGTCCGATCGGTTCCTGCCAGCGTCCGGTCGCCTGTCTGCCGAGCCACCGATCCAGCGTCCGGTCGCGTCTGCGAGCTCGTTTCTTCGTGATCTTGCGTACGGTTTGGTTCCTAACTTCATGCTTGGACTTTGCTTGATATCTTAGGTCTTTTCTTGTGCTCCTAAGGTCTTGCTTAAGGTGTTGATCATCGGATCATCACGTCGCCTTCGTCCAAGTCACGTCTTGCATCCTGTTGGACTACAAAGCAAACACTTGCAATTTCATTAGTTCAATTTGGTTGTGTTGGTCATCAAACACTAAAATCCAAAGTAAATGGACTTAGGGTCCATTTTCCTTACACTTCTAATTCTAGTTGACTACATTTACGCGATTTGGTTTCAAAGTGTGTACAATAGTTGCCATATTCAAATATTGTTCAACTGAAAACATTATAGAATAAACTAACAATATTTGTGTTAGACCATTTCCCCTGAAACGTTACAAACATGGCTAGGATATATAATGATTTGATAATTTCTTCTTGCAGAAGGATGGCAGCGCAGAAGATTCTTTCCTGCTAACTATTGATAAAAAGAGCTTGAGGGAAAGAATAGAGGACCTAGAATATATCGCCAATTGCTCGAAGAAATCACATCTATTGAATCAACATAGTAACAGCAACAAGCTTTCTGTCAAGCATACTGACAAGGAAAGCATCAGCATACAGAAGGATATTGAAGACTTGTACAGAAGCATTGAACAGAATGTATTTGGCCGAGAGAAGGAGCGTAAGCATATATGTTGTTTGCTTCGAAAGGGGCCAAATGCTGAAGCAGCAAGCTCAAGTACAAGTAAATGTTATGCTGTGGTCGGCATATATGGCATTGCAGGGTCTGGGAAGAGTACCCTAGCGCAATACGTCTGTGACTATGAAGAGGCCGAAGGAAACCATTTCAATCTGGTCATGTTCATTCATGTGTCGAAGACATGCAGACTGGATGATATATTTCGTGATATGCTGGAACAGATTTCTCGAAGCCGGCCATCCGGTACCAAAGGTCTTAAAAGTTTATGCAAGGAGTTGAAGGGAAATTTGAAAGGCAGATGCTTCTTGTTGGTGTTGGATGATCTATGGGTCAATTATGGGAATCAGAAGGAGTGGCACATTTTTCTTGACGCCATCAATGCTGGTCAGCGTGGAAGCAGAATCCTGGTGACAGCTCAAACAAAAGATGCAGCTGCAGCCCTAGGTGCTCAGGAGCAAATTCCAATACCAGATTTGGGAGAGGACCACTATTTATCACTGTTCATGCATCATGCTATACAAGCAGGCTCAGTTGGTTATGATGTTGAGTATGAAAGAATTGGGAGAAGGATAGTGGAAAAGCTCCACAGATCACCTATGGCAGCGGTAACGGTGGCAAAAAGGCTTCAAAGGAACAAAAGCTTGGATTTCTGGGAAAGAACAGCAAACCTTGATGTTCTGAATGAGACCATGGGAGCGCTGTGGTGGAGCTACCAGCAGCTCGGCACAGACATTAGGCGATGCTTTGAATACTGCAGCACGTTTCCTAGAGGATACATGTTGAAACGGGACATGTTGGTTCACCTGTGGATAGCACAAGGGTTTGTAAAGACCAGTGGTGCAACGGAGGACATGGAAGCATTAGGCAACCGATACTTTGACGAGTTGCTGACATTCTCGTTCCTGCAAATGCACAGAACGGTTATTGGTACTGAGCAATTCACAATTCATGATCTGCTGCATGAGTTGATGGAAAGGGTTGCCGGAAGTGACTTCTTCAGAATTGATGTGAATAATGGCTTGCCAAAAGAAATCCCGGCAGAGGTCCACCATCTATTCATTGAGACCTACGACAGAGCAGGGATCATAGAGAGGATTCTGGACTTGGCAAATCTTCGCACCCTGATCCTTGAGGAGTTGGACGGGAGCATGTCTAAAATGCTGACAGCACCACCTTTTAAACACACTGGGTATAATGACTTGAGTAACCAAGTTGTTTTTGAAAGTATGCTCATGAGACTGAGGAAACTGCGTGTCCTGATCGTCAGAGTAAGAGGATACCATAATAAGCTATCGTTCTCGGTCCCATCATGTATTGATCAGTTGAAGCATCTACGTTATTTTCGGTTTCGTTCCCCCAACTATGTGAACCTGATTATCCCAAGCACATTCAGCAAGCTTTACCACATGCAGATCCTGGATGCTCCTGACCTCAGATTATCCTGTGCTGAAGATGTGGCTGATCTCATCCATCTGCGGCACTGCTATCCAAGCTTGAACCTTCCCAACGTTGGCAGGCTGACACAACTCCAAACAATGCCGCACTTCAGAGTAGGGAAAGAACCAGGCTACGAGCTAAAGCAGCTCAAATACCTTAACAGTCTTGGAGGCACCCTGAGAATATCTGGTCTTGGAACTGTCGTAGGCAAAGAGGAAGCCCTAGAAGCCCAGCTACCCCGCAAGAAGCGGCTCAATGTACTGGTGCTGGACTTCAACGAAAAAATATACGGCGACCATCCAGACGTCGAGGCAGAGGTGCTCGAGGGCCTTTGCCCGCCGGAGCATCTTGTGCAGCTGTGTATCTGGTGGTACTGCGGTTCAATGTATCCTAGCTGGATGCTGAACCATCAGCATTCAGACGCCCCGAAGCACCTTGACAAGCTTGAGCTCTGTGAGTGCAGACGATTGGTATCCATTCCCCAAGGCAGTGAGTTATTCGTCCATCTCCGTTTGCTCCGCATTGTTTCGTGCGGCTGGGACTCCTTGCCTGATAACATGGTGAAGGGCCTTAGGTCGCTCCAGAAACTGGTCATCCGGAGTTGCAGAAATATCGAGCTCCTTCCCACGCTGCCTCCTTCTCTTCAGGAGATCACTTTAGTCGACGTCGGCAAGCTTAGGACGTCCTGTAAGGAGAGGGGACACATGAATTGGCTAAAGATTCAGCACATTCCCAACAAGAAATTGTACGAGTGATGAGCTAATAAGACATCCCACTACAGCATGTCCCATTATAGGAGGCGTTTACAAATGCCTCCAAAAATGGTCAAAACACCCTCAAAGACCTTTTGAGGCATTTATTAAAACGCCGTCTAAAACATGGAAGTAAAAGGTCTTTTGAGGCGTTTTTCCAAAATGCCTTTTAATATCAACATTTAAAGGCATTTTTTGACTGCCTAAAATACTATTTAGAGGCGTTTTGTAGAACGCCTTCAAACATTAATGGAGGCATTATTAGAAATGCCTCTAAAATCAAGCTATCCATATGGAACTGCTAGAAATATAAAATCGACACAATCCATTCAAGAATGAACCAATGAGAGCACACGTTACACTATATCCAGCATTTAATTCTATCAGACATACATAGTTATATTTGTAACCAGACACAATAAGGTAGAAAAATATATTCATCTCCAAATGATGTTCCTCGGTCCTCATGTTTAGGTCCTCACTCCTAATGACGCTTCTTGCTCCCTTTAAGAGAGATAAAAGCCTGACATGTTCATATCACAGCTATATACATATGTATGTGTCAATCCAACTAACTATATATGTTGAGTCACTACCAGCAGATGAGCATGATCCTTCACTGGAAAGAATAATTTTGAAAGGATCAGCAACAAATTCCTAATAATTTTGCACGACATAAAAACAATAAGCAACCAGGAGCCTAGAACCCATTCAAACACAGTGACATGTAGATCCTCCAATACCTTATTAATTGGTTCAATGGCAAACCGCGCGCCTGGTGACTTGCGAATTGAAGCAACGCCTAACACTGTGCCGGCACAGTTGAAACCAAAAGGTGTTCGTCCACTAGGCTCTTGTATTGCTCCCGCACCTTCCTAATTTCAAGCCGCAGATTATGTTCCTGTTCGACAGTCACACAAGATCAGGATCAAGATCCACTCTTATATGTGCTAATGATCATGACGACCACACCAGGTGGGCAGAGAATTTTACCTTGAGTAGTAGCTCCTTCTCTGCCATCTCAAACTGCGAGCATCTACAGAAATAACAATGCAAAACAAAGGTAATAAACACTTTGCCAAAAACACTATAGGATGAAATTAAACCAAAGCAAGATTATTAGGCTCACTCTTCATGGAGCATCTGGTTTTCCATCTTCAAGAAGCAAAATTCGCTCAGCTCTCGCCCTCCCATATACTGGCATGCCTGTTTTGTTTTGTCAAGACAAATCAATATAACATAGAGATCGCATAAAAATCAAAGGCGACAGTGTGCACCAAAAAGGTACTAGCATGGATGAACAGCAAGGTTGTCTGTACTAACCTGATCAGTAACTGAGCTGCTGCCGGCCAAATCCTGCATAGCCTGCCTTTTAATCGCAACTGTCAGAGCAGCATCGTCATTCCTTATTGTTCAGTGCCCTCGTCATCCATCAATGGATGATCAGAAAAGAGATCATGTGAGGAAGGAATCCCCTTAATAAAAATTGAAGCAAAAAGATTTCAGAGCAGAAAAAGGGCAGTTATAATTTAATAACAGTAAGGCAAGTATGCAATGAACTCGTACTGTTAGGTTGACTTAGTCCACAACATAACAAAAAAAAAACCCAAAGAGAATCCACCATTAATTGCATGTCTCATATGGCAGAACAAAAACCAAACTGACCTTCAAGATGTAGCTTACAGATCTGCACAATTTGGTCAATGATTTGGTGCAATGCGGGCTGCAATATCAATATGGTCGGGTGTGGGCTGGTTTCTGTACACGAGGGATTGGACTGGGGTGGGCTAATTAATTAACGCATGCACGTCTGGACAGGTGTGGGTTCAGTGCGGATCTCAGCCCACTGTCAGGTTTATGTAGTAGAGCAATCTTCACTAGAGTGGGGAACACAATAAACAGCTAGGCATGATAATTGAAGAAAAAAATAAAACAGCTAAGCTAAGAATGGTGTACATACCACAGATCCATCTAACCGCCGAATTATGACTCCAGCACCTGATTTCCCAGGATTTCCTATACAAGCTCTGTCAAATTCAAGAATACAAGAGAGCTGTAAAAGATAGAGTGCACTGGTGGGATTGGGAAGAGCTCAAAATTCCCAAAACAGTAAAGGTATATCACAAATATACATGCAGACCAAGCAGCAACGCAACCACCTGAGATGTAACTTTCAAAAGATCAGCTTAACACTCAAGTTGTGTTAGATAAGGTAAGGCCCTGAGAATCAAGGCAAGTTGCCACACGACGCTGAGATAGATACTACTACAAAGTATAAAAATGAAACTATTTCGTGATGATAATGTGTGCCTAGAAATGACAAGAACTGGTTCAAGAAAAAAAAAAAGTAGACCATAGGGAATCAGATTAATCTGTAGTGTAAAACACTGGCAAGTGATGGAGATAAAGAGCACTGCATTCTTTAAATCAGCATATATGTTTTACTATGAGAAGCCATACTGATTACTAACTATTTCACCTGAAATCATAGGGAAATCAGGTGTAATTTCAAGTATCGTATTCAAGTGATTATCACAAGTAGTAGTTACTTGAAATCATAGGGCTGTAAAGTAGATGTAAATAAACAAGTGCTAAGTGTGCTGCAGTCTTCTTAAGAACGAAATTAGGGGATCTTTCTACCCTAGTTGATTTTTTTTTCAAGCACTAATGGTTGGTTAGTTATTTGTAATTTTATAACTAGTTGAGAAGAAGCCAAAACTTTGAGCAAGAACAGTATGGAGAGTAGGGATTACCATTTGCACCCTTTGCAACATATGATTACTCTCCAGCAAAGCCTATAGGTAATTTTAGAGGTTGATTCAATGAGAAATTGTTGAGTCCTTGCTGGTTTGCTGAGTATATTCTAAGGTTTGTTACCAACTTGTATTGGTCCATCACAAAGCCATTACCAGGACTCGCTTACTGGATTAGCTAACTTCAGAATAATCAAAGGAAATCACAATCTAGATGCTCCCATTCCTCAATCATTAGCTCTTATACGAACAACAGAAGATCAACGTGTGTCCATTATATGTCTCAACTATGTATCTATATATCTTCCTTCACAACTGACTAAGAGAGCAAAACATGTCATAGTTAGCGACATTTAGCCCATGCCCTCTACTCAATGGACTAAATCACTGGAGGCACAGAATAATCTGTAATGAAATAAACTGAAATTGGGGAATTTAGTGACTGAATGAACAATAGTGACTGCCTTTACAACATTACTCTGCAAAACGTCAGCAAATTGATTTGCTAACTGAGTAAACGAAGTGAGGGAGCAGATCCACTAATACCTTGTGATGCCAATGTGTCACTGCCATCTTAATCCAAACCATAATATCAAGCTAGATGGAATCGAGAGCAGATCCACTGGCAGGACATAAATGTTATGAAGCAGGTCAATAAACTCACCTTGTATATATGGGTCTGCGCATTGGATGGTTCTGCAGGTGAACTCCAGGAGGTGGATGAGGATGATTGATCCACTGCAGCACGCACTCGATCGATCGTCGGAGCCGCGGCCTGCCGACAGATTGGACCGCCACCACCTGTCGGGAGGGTCTGGCCGAGCGTGACGTTGCTGGCTGGGAGGAAGGGCCCGACACCGCCACTCTATAGGGAGAGAGAGCCATGCGCGCCGCTGCCGTCGGAGGGAGGGGACCCAACGCGGCTGGCTCGGAGGGAGAGGGCCGAGCGCACCGCCGCCAGCTAGGAGAGAGGGGCCGTGCGCACCGCCGCAGCCGAGCGCACCGCCGCCGACCGGGTAGGAAAGAGGGGCCGTGCGCACCGCCGCCGAGCGCGTCGCCGCCGACCGGGTGGCTGGGGCCGCTTGGGCCGTTGTCGCCGCACCTAGGGGAGAGGGTCGACCGCCGTTGGGAAAGGACGCGTGGGAGGAGGTGGGCGGCGGAAGAGATGCGAGACAGCGAGGGATGAAAAGAATGAGAGGGAGGGAGGGAGGGAGGCCACACCGGACACGGCGACCGAGCAGGGCCCACCTGTCGGCGCCGGGTAAACTCGGAGCGCGCGGTGAAAGATTGTGTGGACAAAAGCCGTACACGTATTTCAGTTGCACACAGGTTTCGCCTTGGCTCGTCGTAAACGAGCGTAAATTTTCAACTGGAATAATATTTTTCTCTCACACAAATTAGCCAGCAGTATTTCTTCACGAACCAGTAACGATACGAACCAGCCAACCGAACAGGCTGATAAGAGATATTAGGTCTAAGATCGTCTTCAACAAGTGACTCATAAGAGCACCTAAACCAATAGTACTATATTGGTCTTCAACAGAATACCTATATAGGAGACCTATTTTGAGTGTCAGGGAGACACAACCTAAATCTGAGTATCCTCTCTCCTGGAGACCCATTTGTAGAATTAATTCTTTTTTGAGTCTTATTGTTGAAGAAGATAAAAAATAGATATTAAAACCATTTGCCACACTACCCAAATATAAAATGGGTCTTGTATTTGGGTTCTCGTTATTATTGGAGATAGCGTTTTTGCATAACGCCGCCGATTCCTACAGGTAATGAAGGCGTTTTTTTTTTCCAAAATGCCGCCGATTCCTATGGGTAATGAAGGCGTTTTTCATATCAGCCTATGAAAACATGTTTGTAGTGGCGTTTTCACAAAAAATGCCTTTATATATTTGGAAACTAAGGCACCGTAAGAAAAACGTCTTTAACAAAACGCCTTCTAGACATGCCATAGTGTCCCCTCTACCCGTACCTTACCATTGTGAGTGTATTCTTGCATTGCAAGCCCATAGAGAATTTGATTGGTTGTGAAGCCTCTATTCTCCTAGCTACCAGCAATAATGAAGGTGAATAGGGTCTTACACTTGTAGTACTAATGGAAGCAAGAGGCTTAGGGTAGCCCAATGGTTGAAACTAGACACGGTTTTATAGCAGCGACGTAAACAAAAAAGAACCATCTATAGAAACTGTGCAGCACAACGCAGGGTCTTGGTATAATAAATGTCACTTTCTTCCTCAGGGAAAAGTCTACATAACCCCAACCATTCAAGGTAGACTACTTCACCCCAAAACTATAAAACCGGATTTTCTACCCCTAAACTTTCCAAAACCGGTCAAATAACCTCCCAAACGGTTTTGGACGGTGGTTTTGCTACAGCGACGGTGGTTTTTTTAGTTATAGATAATACATAGATTTAACAAGCATAAACCTAAATAAATCTATAATTAAGTTACACATGATCCAATGAGTATGAAATTTTTAGTATAGTTCAACCATACAATAATTAGACCATCATAAAAATTTTACCACAATTGGATCATAGAAACTGCAGCTATGAATCATTCCAATTAATTATAGAAAAGCATAGATCTAAAGCTACAGCAAAATTTTGTACTAAAGCATACCATATTATATGTTCACTGTGTAGATATACTCATGTGGAGTCCAACAAAATTGAATTTTCTATTTTATGATTTTTCTATAATTTACTATAATTTTTCAAAAATTCAGCGAAATTAAATGAAAAAAAGATAAAATCATGTTCACTGTAGCAACCCACCGTCCAAAATCGCTTAGGGATTACAACCCACCGTCCAAAATCGCTTAGGGATTATTTGATCGGTTTTGAAAAGTCCGGAGGTAGAAAATCCAGTTTTGTAAGTTTTTCCTTTCTCCTCAGAACAAGCAAAGCAGGTCGCCGCTCGCCGGACATCAGCTATGCAAGGGGCCAGGCCACCGGCCGCGGCAAGCCCGCGGCAAGCTTGCCTCCCTTGTCGTCAGCGAGCTTGGCCCTGTCGCCAGGAGTTGGAGCTCGCCCGCACCATGAAGCTCGTCGTCGTCATAGAGCCCGGCCGTGGCCTGTGCGGACGGTGAGCGTCCTGGGCGACGGCGGCGCGGCGAGGTCTGGTTGGACGATGGCGCGGACTGCGCGGACGCGAGCGGCCTAGGCAACGATGGCGCGACCCTTGCGGACAGCGAGCGGCCTGGCCGACAGCGCCGCGATGAGCGCGTCCTGGGCGGACTCGAGCGGCCGGGAAACGACGGTGCAGCCTGTGTGCGGACGGCGAGCGCAGCCTCTGCGGACGGCGGCATGGCGAGTACGGCTTGGGCGACGGCGGCACGACGAGCAATGCGCGGCGCTGCAGCGAGCGCGGAAGAGGAAGTCGCATCCCGGGCCGTAGAAACGGGTCGTTTCCTCCCAACGGCAAATTAGCGATTTCTCCGTACCTCGGTTCACGAATAGACGTGGTTTCTCATCTAAGAAACGGTTTCACCAGATTTTCCTATCTTTCTTCATTAATTAGGTTACCAGATTTTTGCTTAATTGGCAGGACAATTAATAGGAATAGAAACTATCAATAATATTTCATTAGGAGTGCCCTTATAAGTGTACACACGAACTATATAGGCCCACAGCTAGGATATTTTGCTATCTGACATCCAAATTATGTGGAACTAGTCTATCAACCGTGCTCCCGCACGGGTTAGATTTTTCCGTATGGGCTACCTTTGTGATACTTTAGCAATAGTAAACGATCTTTAATATATGTTTAAATAAATTTGATTTCTCGGTTGGGTATTTTTTTTCCTTCATTTATTTGAACCGTGTGTATAGCAATATTAAAAGATTATTATCTTTTTTAATAATAGATGTCGATAATTTAGATTCAAATTTTGTTTTTTTCAATTACAATTCTTAATGGTAGAGTCATATTTAACATATATTATACTATTTCTTAGTAATCATAATATATTATATGGCTATTACTGATAAATTTTTAGGATTCAGCTTTTCCTAGTGCCACATGAAAGGTGTTCAGCCAAAAATTTTCTTATTAATTTTGAAGCTAAGCGAAAAAAAGATTGATAAGAGATTGTAGCAAATTTAATTGGTCGTTTCCAATAGTTGGTCCTTAATGCGTTTTTTTATAACATCCTAAATGCGTTTATGTATGCATAGTAGGGCGCATTCGAAGGTCCTAGAGACCGACTGATTATATTAAAAAAATTGAAGGTTGTCTTGGGAGAATAAAAAGAGATGGCATAATTTATTACTGAGTAAACAATGAAGTGATTTTATGTCTCTGATGACATCCCCTTTCTTCTCTTTGTAGCCCCCTTTCTTCTCTTTGTAGCTCATGCCCCCAGCACCAGGCGCAGCACGCAAATTGCTTAGTCGAGGCGGAGTTGCGGAGGCCCGTGCGTTGATGTTACCTCGGAGGAGGCTCCTCAACTCCATCCGCCTGGATTGGAACCTGCAGGAGCTCAGGCTGGGGTCGTCAGCGCGCATATGCAGGGAAACGCCGTGGGCCGTGACGGATCCTGGGATCTTCGCGCGGTCGCAATCTCTCTTCATCGTTTTGATTTCTCCGGTACTGTGTATATCGACCTTCACCAATTAATATTCAATAGTTAAAAAAGCAGTGATTGAGTATTATAAGAATAGTTTTTGTCGTAAAGTATTACCTCAATATTGAAAATGATGTTTATAGAATTTCCTTGTACACAATGTTTTTGACAATGTTTTCTTCTACGGAAACGCTACTGTGTAGGCGTCCGTCCCGTCCATCCGGAGCCGCACAGCAACGACTCGACCGCGCGGCGCCCCTTATCCGCTCGACTCCCTCCTCCATCCCGTCCCGTGACTGCGCACTCACTCTCGCTCTGCTCGCCCGCTCCTCCTCCCCGCTCCTCCACTCTCTCACTGCTCGCACACCGCCGCCCCTCTCTCCCTCCCTCTCTCCCTCCGCGACCTCCGTGCCATCGGAGAGGAGGGCGACGACGGCGACTTTCGGCAAGCCGCCCCTCCCTACCTCCCCCCTCCCTCCCTCCCTCCCTCCGCGACCTCCATGCCAACAGAGAGGAGGGCGATGGCAGTGGCTTCCGGCGAGGTAGGTGGGTCCTTCTTTGGATCTGAGCCCTCCTCCTCCACTTCCTCCTCTAGATCTGAGCTCTCCTCCTCCCCCCTCCTCCTCCTCTAGATCTAGATCTGAGGGGCGTTATGGTGGTTAGGGTTTCGGCGAGCTCTGTTGTAGTAGCGTTGTTTTGTTGTTGCATCAGTCTTTTTTTTCTAATGTTGTATCTTACATTACGCTTTGTTTCTGTTGTTGCAGTAGCGTTGTTTTGATGTTGCAACAAGTATTCTTTTTTGTTGCATTAGTCTTTTTTTCTGATGCTGCATCTCGTATTGCGCTTTGTTTCTGTTGTTGTAGTAACGTTGTTTTGCTGTTGCAACAAATATTCTTTTTTTGTTGCATTAGTCTTTTTTCTGATGTTGCATCTCGTATTCCGCTTTGTTTCTTTGTTGTTGCAATAGCTTTGTTTTGTTGTTGCAACAAGCATTTTTTCTTTGTTGCATTAGTCTTTTTTCTGTTGTTGATTTCTCGCATTTGCCTTTTTTGTTCTGTTTGTTGCAGTAGCCTTGTTACGGTGTTGCAACAAGTAATATTTCTTTATTGCATTAGTTTTCTTTTTTCTGATGTTGCATCTCATATTGCAGTAGCTTTATTCTTGTTGTTGCAGTCGCTTTGTTCTAATGTTGCAGTAGACTTGCTCTGATGTTGCATCTCGCATTGCGTTTTGTTTGATGTTGCAAACAAGTAATGCTTTTGATGGGAGCGTGGTGAGGATGCGATGCACCTAGCATGGGCGC